CAGCATCCCATATGGTCCCCTGAGAACCACCAGGAATAATTCCTGAATGCAGAGCCAGAAGTAACCCTGAGCATTGCTGAGTGTGACCCCCAAAGCCAAAAATAAATAAATAAGTAAATAAATACAATTTTCAAAAGTGGCTGGAATGATAGCACAGTGGGTAGGGCATTTGTCTTGCACACGGTCAACTCAGGTTCAATCCTCAGCATCCCATAGAGTTCCACAAACACCATCAGGAGTGATTCCTGAGTGCAGAGCCAGGAGTAATCCCTGAGCATCACAGGGTGTGACGTCATAAAGCAAAACAAACAAAATCACAAATCAAATCACAAATCATCCTGTTATTCGTCGATTGCCTCGAGCAGGTCCCTGTAACGTCTCCTTCATCCTAGCCCTGAGATTATATTCAAGGCTCTTTAGGAGAATGAGACCCATCATTATTACTGGTATTTGGCATATTGGGTCGCCAAAGGGAGTTTGCCAGACTCTGCCCTGTGGGCAGGCTACATTCGGTAACCTGCCAGTTTGTCCAAAGTAAGAATGAGATAATAAGATGTCTTAATAAGATGTTCTGCGGCCGCGAATGCAGCGGCGCGGTTCCGGGATCTGGTTTTTATAGTCTCTGAGTCTTGGCCACTGATGGGATTACACGGCGCCAGGGGGCCAGTTGGTGGGTGTGACCCCCGCCTACTGGAATTTGGAGGATCTGGGTGGAGGATGCTCGGCCCAAATCCGAGTAGGCTTGGAGATCTCGGCCCCGGAACCCGCGTGACTTTGTCCCTCTGCCAGTACCTTCATGTGTGCGGAGAGTGGTCTCAGCATGGTGGTGGCTGGTCCTGGAGGTCTTTGGCTGCCGGAGCCCTGGTCGGGACGGGGAGGAAAGCTCAACCCGCTCCCCTCCAAGGGGTCCCGGCGAGCGAGGACAGTCAGGCGCAGGGGCAGAAGACTGCACTCTTCTCTTCCGGGATCTGGTTTTTGCAGTCTTCTGCAGTCTTCTGCCCCCGTGCCTGACTGTCCTCGCTCACCGGGACCCCTTGGAGGGGAGCGGGTTGAGCTTTCCTCCCCGTCCCGACCAGGGCTCCGGCAGCCAAAGACCTCCAGGACCAGCCACCACCATGCTGAGACCACTCTCCGCACACATGAAGGTACTGGCAGAGGGACAAAGTCACGCGGGTTCCGGGACCGAGATCTCCAAGCCTACTCGGATTTGGGCCGAGCATCCTCCACCCAGATCCTCCAAATTCCAGTAGGCGGGGGTCACCCCACCAACTGGCCCCCTGGCGCCGTGTAATCCCATCAGCGGCCAAGACTCAGACACTATAAAAAAAACAAACAAAACAAAACCTTAAAAGAATGGCAGATAGGGGGGCTGGACCGGTAGCACAGTGGGTAGGGCATTTGCCTTGCACGCGGCCTACTCCCAGTTCGATTCCCTGCATCCCATTATGGTCCCCTGAGCACCGCCAGGAGTAACCCCTGAGTTAACCCCTGTGCATCGCTGGGTGTGACACAAAAAGAAAAAAAAAGGCAGATAGAATTGCCAGAAATAAATAAGTGAATTTGTGATGGTTAAATCACTATATATTTTTAATCTCTTTTCTTTTTTCTTTTTGACTTTTTTTGGGGTAACACCCGTGACTCCGCCCCCGATATTAGCCCCGCCCAACATGGCCCCGCCCCTCATTGGCCCCGCCCCTCACGTTGGCTCCGCGCACACCGCAATACACCGCGCATGCACTTATGTGATAAACGCAAACCATTACTCACAGTGGGGGGGACAGGGCCGGAACCGGTCCGTCCGAGAAAAGTCCGGAAGCCTCCATTGACCTTTCGCTCTCTCTATCCGCTGATACAACGGAATCCGTCGGAGGCAGCTATTTTAGCGCCCGCTTGCGCGGTGGCGAAGCCCCCGCTGCTGCGGAAATCCCGCGAGGTCCCTCCCGCGGAGACGCTCCTTGGTATCGTCCAGTCGGTCACGTGGGCGGGAAGATGGCGGCCCCCAGGGGGCGCAGGCGGCGTCCCGGCGGCTGATGCGGCGCCGCTTCTTGCCTGGCCGGTCCTGCGCGTCCGGGAGCTCGGCCCGACCATCTGGCGGCGGAAGCGCGGTGAGGTTGCTTCCCCGGCCCTGGGACGCGTCGCTTGGGGAGTCCCAGATGCTCCTGCTCCTGCTTTCTAGGGAGGGAATCTTGTTTCTGGGGACCCTTGCGTCGGCGGGCCTGCGGGTGGGGGTCCGCTCCCTGGCAGTCTGTCTGTCGTGGTGTCCTGGGAGAGCCAGCCAGGGTGGGATCCAGTTCTCGGGGACGGTGTAGACGGAGTGGCGGCTTCTGGGTCTCCCTCGTGTTTACTTAGGGGAGGCCCCGTCTTGCGGGGACCGTCCGGCCGGGAGATCCGTTTGGGCGCTGTTGCTTAGGATGGTCCTGAGGTCCCCTCCCGCCCATCAGTATCTGGGAATTCCTCTTTCCCTTAAGCCCGCCTTGACGACGAGTCTCTAGCGCCTCCCCAGGGCCGAGCCGATGCTCAACTCCGCGTTGCCGCACCCTCTTCCCCCAGGCGCGAGGGGTGAGCTGCCAGAGCCCAGACCTGGGTGCTGGGGCCCCTCGAGGGGCCACCAACTCTGGCTCGTCCGGTCCCCGCTGCCCAGGATCCGGGCTCCCAGGACCCGCCGCCGTCTAGCGGGCAACCCTGTGACTGTGTGAACAGCACTTTGCCCAGCGCCGGCCACGCTGAGGACAGACAGCTGCAGGGTCCTCGCGACGGAGCAGTGGACACCCGCTCTCCTGTCGCTCCGGCCCTTTCTTTGATATTTGGATTAGCGCCGTAACCGTTTGTTGAATGAGATTTAGAGAGGGGATGAACCCATAGTACCACCGCTAAGGGCGTTTGCCTTTGCACGCGACTGGCCCAGTTCGAGCCCCACCAGCATCCCATAGGGTCTCCCGAGCACTGCCAGGAGTGACTCCCGAGGGCAGAGAGCCAGGGGTGGGGTAAGCTCAGAGCATCACACAGTGTGGGCCAAAAACAAAGACAAATTTAGAGGAAAGAGGGAAGAAAGAGATGTGTTCAGGAGAGACCACAAGCTTCTCCAAAGGGGATTAAAAAGCTCAGTCAGGGGCCGGAGCTATAATACAGCGGACAGGGTGTTTGCCTTGCACACAACCGACACGAGTGCGATCCTGGCATCCCCTATGTTCCCCGAGCACCGCCAGAAGTAATTCCCGAGTGCAGAACCAGGAGTAAGCCCAGGGCATCACTCAGTGTGGCCCAAAAAGGAAAAAAGAAAAAGTTCAATCGTTTTGTGGGCGTGTCTGGGGGAGGGAGTGGTTTGGGCCACTCCTGGCGGTGCTTAGTGCTGACTCCTGACTCTGTGCTCATGGGTCACTCCTGGTGGGGTTGGGGGGATCCTGTGCAGTGCCAGGGATGGAACCCTGATTAGCCTCACAGACGACAAGCGCCTCAGCCATGGGCCCCCCGGGCCTCTCTGGTTCCAGGTGCTCCCCCTCTACCTTCCTCCCCCGCCCTCCTTTGATGTCCCTTGGCACACACAGTCAGCATCTGTGTCGGACGCCTGCCGCCGCCTGACCTGCGCGTCCTGTTTCAGGGGCCTCTGCCAGGCCCCACCCGTGCTGTGTGGCGTGTCCACTCCAGCTTGGCCGGCTGCCTACCCCTGCCGTCCAGGCACCTGTCCTGGACTTGGTCTATAGGGCTGTGGTCGTCAGCTTGTCATGCAGGTGGTCCTGGGTACCCAGCTGCACGGGGCTCCTGGGCGGAGGCTGCCCTCTCCTTTATTCTGAGGGTGTTGGAGGTCAGATCTAGTGGGGCCCTTATGAGGTGTGGGATGGAGCTCGGAGCTCCCGCCTCCTGGGCTTACTCTGTTCCCTGAAATCCTCAGAAGCACGGGGTGACCAAAAAAGGTGGCCCCCTGCTTTCAGGAACATTGTGTCTCCACCCCCCCCCCCCCCTTTGTCAGGGTTAAGGCAGACCACAGGCAGCCAAGGCTAAGAGAATGAGCATGGCTTTGGAGAAGAACAGAGCCGGACTAGGGGATGGGGAGGGAGGAGTGAGGGCTGCAGTCAAGGGAGGCTTCCCAGAGGAGGTGCCATTTGAGACCCAAGAACGTGGGAGAAGTGAGCAGGAGTCTCGGGGAGAGAAGATGGAGCAGGGACAGGAGGCACATGGGGCGGGGGGTGGTCAGCCAGGCAGGAGCGGGGGAGGGAAGAGGGGACCTTCTTTGAGGCTGTGTGTGTGTGTGTGTGTGTGTGTAGGGGGTGAGTGAGTAGTGCTGAGGCCACACAGGGGAGTGACTCTAACCTGTGCCTTTACACAGCATGGCTGACCCAGTCTGTCTGTCGTCTGTCTGTCTCTCTCTTAAAATTTTATAGTTTGGGGGCAGTTTGGGGGCCACACTTCTTGATAGTGCTGACTCCAGGCTCTGCACTCAGGGATCACTCCTGGCGGTGCTTGGGGACTCTATGGGGTGCCGGGTATCGAACCAGGGCCGGCCGCCTGCAGAGTAGCACCCTCCCCGCTCTCCTCTGGCTCCCGCTTCGCGCCCCCTTTGCAGTCCGCAGGATCCTGTGCACACCCCGAAGGGTTCCCCCTCCCGGAAGAGCGCCCTCTGCTGGCTGCTGTGTGAGGCTGCAGCCCCCCCCCAACTGCCCCCTCCTGATCTCAGGCCTCGGTGTCCCCAGTAGCCATCAGAGCCCTTAGAGCTCACCCTCCAGGCCATCTCACTGCCACTGCTGCGGGCCCACGCAGGACAGGGATTCCCGGCCGGAGGGAGGCAGACCAGCCCGGATTCTTGCCAGTGCGCAGGCCAGAGAGGGATAGCAACTTACAGAAGGTGACTCAGCAGAGGGCAGGGCCAGCGTCGCCCCAGCCTTTCCCCCTAGTTGCCCGGGCCGGTGCAGGGGCATCAACCTGACCCTCCCACCCCCTCCCCGGGGCCCTTCAGAGACCACGCCGGGAGGGTGGACAGCCAGCGGCTGGCTCTTACCGGGCCTCTGCGTTTCCGCCTCTCCCCAGGATTAGTGGGGACCAAACCCCCGGCGGGGCGCCATGGTGACGGAGCAGGAGGTGGACGCCATCGGGCAGACCCTGGTGGACCCCCAGCAGCCGCTGCAGACCCGCTTCCGAGCCCTCTTCACGCTGCGTGGGCTCGGCGGCCCCGGGGCCATCTCCTGGATTAGCCGGGGCTTCGACGACGACTCAGCCCTGCTCAAGCACGAGCTGGCCTACTGCCTGGGCCAGATGCAGGACGCCCGGGCCATCCCTGTCCTGGTGGCGGTGCTGCGCGACCAGCATCAGGAGCCCATGGTGCGGCACGAGGCAGGTGAGCCTCCACAGGGGCGTGGCCAGATGACAGATGACTCGTGGCTCCGCCCCAGTGGACGGGGCTCTGCCCTCGGGACCTTTGGAGCATGAACTGGCGCTGCCTAATAGGGTACTGTGGAGGGCGTATACCTTGCACGTGACCCACCCGGTTTGTTTGTTCGTTTGTTTGTTTTTTGGTGATGCACAGGGGTTACTCCTGGCTCTGCACTCAAGATTTACTCCTGGCGGTGCTCAGGGGACCTTATGGGATGCTGGGAATCAAACTCGAGTCGGCTGCGTGCAAGGCAAACGCCCTACCCGCTGTGCTATCTCTCCAGCCCCCCCCCCCACCAGGGCTCTATCCTCAGCATCCCCCCTAGGATTCCCCAGAGTACCTCCAGAGGTGATCCCTAAGTTCAGAGGCAAAAGTAAACAAACCCTGGGCATCGCCGGGTGTCACCAAAGAAGAAAACAAACCAAAAAAGAAAGTTAAGGGCCAGTTAATAGCAACCAATTAAATAGTAAATAATAGTAATCAATAGCCAATTAATAGTAAAACAGTTAGTGAAGCTTGCCTTGTTAGTGAAGCTGGCCCCGGTTCCTTCCTGGCATCCCGTATGGTCCCTGGAGCGCTGCCAGGAGTCAGCCCTGAGCATTGCCAAGGGAGTGTGGCCCAAGAACAACAACAAAAAAAAAAAAATGAAGAAAGTTTAGAAGCAGAGGCCCTGGCCAGTGAGATGGCGTCAGCTCCTTCGGACTGAATCTTTTTTTTTTTTTCTTTGTTTTTCTGGGGTCACACCTGGCGATGCACAGAGGTTACTCCTGGCTCATGCACTCAGGACTTAACCCTGGCGGTGCTCAGGGGATCATATAGGATGCTGGGAATTGAACCCTGGTTGGTCGCGTGCAAGGCAAACGCCCTACCTGCTGGGCTATCACTCCAGCCCCAGGACTAATTTTTTTTTTTTTTTGGCTTTTTGGGTCACACCTGGCGATGCACAGGGGTTACTACTGGCTCTGCACTGACGAATTACTCCTGGCGGTGCTCAGGGGACCATATGGGATGATGGGAATTGAACCCGGGTCGGCCGCATGCAAGGCAAACTCCCTACCCGCTGTGCTATCTCTCCAGCCCAGGACTAAATCTTAAGATGCTGATTGACTCGGCTTGGGTGCTCGTGCACCAAGTCCCTGTGGCGCGGGTGCTGATTGGTCCAGCTTGGGGGCCCGCCCCCGCCCCTGCGCCAATCCGCTCCGGCCAGCGGCGGGCACGCACAGTCTCGGTCCTGCGGGGCGAGGGGTGGGCATCGGGGTCTAGTCCACGCCTTCAGTGCTGTGCTCCCGGCTTGCTACCTTCAGGGGAGGCCCTGGGAGCCATCGGGAACCCGGAAGTCCTGGACATCCTGAAGCAATACTCCACCGACCCAGTCATCGAGGTAAAGCTGGGCCCTGCGAGCCCCACTGGGCAGAACCCACCCAGAGACCCCGACCCCCTCCCCACGCCTCCCCCATTTCAGACGCCCTGCGGGACTTTTGTTTGTTTTGTTTTGGGGGTCACATCTGGAGGTTCTCAGCTTGGCCCTTCTCTGTGCTCAGGGATCATTCCTTGCACGGACGCCCGATGGGGGGAGTGGGCGTGCAAGGCAAGCGCCCTTCCTGCTGTCCGGTCGCTCCTCCCTGGGCCTGGCCCTTCCTGTCCATTCCCCCCTCCTTTGGGGGATGCACCTATCATTCTCACAGTGACACTCCCCACCCCACATCTGCCCGCCGCTGCTTCCGTTCCCACTCAACCCCCCACCACCCCGCGCCCTAGGGGGCCCAGTGTCGTGTGGGTCCCAGCACTGCCGCCACGACCCCTCACGCTCCGCAGGTGGCCGAGACGTGCCAGCTGGCCGTACGGCGGCTGGAGTGGCTGCAGCAGCGGGGCGGGGACCCGGTGCCCGCGGGGCCCTACCGCTCCGTGGACCCCGCGCCGCCCGCCGAGGAGCGCGACGTGGGGCGGCTGCGGGAGGCGCTGCTGGATGAGGCGCGGCCACTGTTTGACCGCTACCGGGCCATGTTCGCCCTGCGGGACGCGGGCGGCGAGGAGGCGGCCCTGGCGCTGGCCGAGGGTGAGTGGGCAGCCGCGGGGCATCCGGGGGAAGAGGGTCCCAGCGGGGTACTTGGCTGCTTCCCAGCCCGCAGCGTGGGGCCAGGCAGGACTCACATCCCCAGTGCTCGGGGCGGGCCCAGAGGGGCTGGGACCTGCTGCCCCCTGGCGGCTGGACTGTGCCCTGCAAGGCCAAGGCAGCTGCATTCTGGGAGTGGGGGGCTTCCCGTCTGCCTGGCAGGTGGTGGGCGGGCCAGGGTGCTTGCAAAGAAACCTCCTCCCATCCCAGAGGCTGGAGTGATAGCACAGCGGGGAGGGTGTTTGCTTGCCTTACATGCGGCCCGACCCGGGTTTGATTCCCAGCATCCCATAGGGTCCTCCGAGCACCGCCAGGAGTAATTCCTGAGTGCAAAGCCAGTAGGAACCCCTGTGCATCACGGGGTGTGACCCAAAAAGCAAAAAAAAAAAAACCCTCCCCCCAACTCCAGGCCTCCCCGTGCCCATGGAGAAACTAGTCCCCCGTGTGTACCTGTGCAGATGTAGCACCCCAATGGGCATCCCTGGCTAGGGGGGTGCCCCTGGCGCCCGGTGGTCATTACCCCACCCCAGGGACGCGGGGTTTCCCGGGACAGGGGTGCCCGGCCTCGGGCTCCTGGGGTGACGCACCGCCCCCCACCCTCCACCCCACCCCTCTCCAATTTGCAGGTCTGCACTGCGGGAGCGCGCTCTTCCGCCACGAGATCGGCTACGTGCTGGGCCAGCTGCAGCACGAGGCGGCCGTGCCCCAGCTGACCGCGGCCCTGGGGCGCACGGCCGAGAGCCCCATGGTGCGGCACGAGTGCGCCGAGGCGCTGGGCGCCATCGCCAGGCCCGCCTGCCTGGCCGCCCTGCGCGCGCACGCCGCCGACCCCGAGCGCGTGGTGCGCGAGAGCTGCGAGGTGGCGCTGGACATGTACGAGTACGAGACGGGCTCCGCCTTCCAGTACGCCGACGGGCTGCGGCGGCTGCACCCCGCGGGGGACTGCTCAGAGCCCCGCGCCTAAGCCCGGGCCCCAACGGATCCCGGGGACGTGCCCAGAGGTGCCCCGAGACTCCCGCCGGACTCTGCGTGGGTGTCAGGGGTGGCCCCGCGGGGCGGCGCGGCAGACCCCCGGCACTGGGGGCTTGGGATTTGTTGTGAACAGTAAAGTTACTTTTTGGTTCAAGGATGTGCTGGTGGGGCTGGAGCGATAGCACAGTGGGGAGGGCGTTGTTTGCCTCGCACGCATCCGACCCGGGTTCGATTCCCAGCATCCCGTAGGGTCCCCCGAGCACCGCCAGGAGTGATTCCTGAGTGCATGAAGCAGGAGTAACTCATGTGCATCGCTGGGTGTGACCCAGAAAAACCAAAACAAACAAAAAAAATGTGCTGGAGTGTACTGGGGTTGGGGTGGGGTGCTGAGAGCTTAAAGATGTCAATTCGAGAATGTTCTGGAGCAAAACAGGCTGGCTAATTCCCTTCCCTTCCCCTCCTGGGGGTTAAGTTTCAGGGCCTCCTGGGGCGCTGGCCAGGATTTGACTGGCAGCATCAGAGCTGCGCCCCCCCCCCCTCCCTGAGACCACATAGGGGTGCTGGGCCCCACCCTCTTCCCAGAGGATTCGTGGTGGCATCTTTCCCTGGTTAGTTGTGGGGCCGTCTCCCCCAGGGTGCTGGGACGGAGCCCAGGACCAGGCACCCCTCCCTCCCACCCCTCCCCTGCTTTCCTCCCACCGCCCCACGCATCTGGAAAACAGTTTACCCACCGGCCCGGCGTCCTGTCTCGTTTCCCGGTGCACCCCCACCCCACCCGTAAATCCTGCAAACTCTGCCTTGCAGGCAAGGGTGCGGCTGGTCCTGACCCTCCGTCCATGCCCTGTTGGGATCCCGGGTCTCTGCGGATGACGGATGTGGAAACATGGTCCCGGACCCGGGTGACCCCCAGAGCCCAGGGCTGGGGGCTCAGCGGCGCAGTCCAAAGGCTCCCGCGGAGGCGCTTCGCGGACAGCGCCCCCGTGTGGCGGCTACGGGAGTGGCGTCTCACCCTGGTGGTTTCTTACCCCGACCCTACCCTGGACCCACCCCCACCCCCCAGGTATTACCTGCTCCCTCTTCTGTTTCCATCGTTTTGGGCGGGGGGAGGGGCTGACTACACCGGGCAATGCTCAGTTTACTTCTGGCGGGGCTCGAGGGACCATCTGGGTTGTGGGGGATGGAACCCCCAATCAAGGCAGGCACCAGCCCCTCTATTTTCCATTACCCTTTGGCATAGTGACCTCTTATGCATGACACCCCCCTTTTGTTTTTGGTTTTGGGGTCACGCTCTGTGAACTTCCTCTCCACCCCCACACTCTGCCTAACCCCTTTTATCAACCCCCATTTTGCTTTTAACCACAAGGCTCCCAACAGCGAAGTCTGAGACCCTTCCCAAACCTTACCTCGCACCCCGAACTGGGTTCTCCCCCCCCACCCCCGTGCCACTCCCGTACCCACATCTGGGCTGGTTGGAGTTGGCTAGTGGTCTCTGTGTCCACCTTCAAGTCACCTCTATCTGTCCCCCTCCACTGCGCCCCTGGAAACGCAGGACCCCCCCCTCCTACACTGGCTCTGCTATCTTGAAGGGTTTGAACCCCCTGCACCCCACTGTTGCCCACCATCTTCCCAGAGCCACCCAGACTCAGGGTTCCACTGTCCCTGGGCGCCCCCCACTTACCTATGAATAAGGCACCTCAAACTTGGCATGTCCTTGGAATTCCTCAGTTTACCTCCCAGAGTTGTCCCTTGCACCGGAAATGGAGACGCCGTCATCCCAGGGGCTCAACCTGGGGCTTGTTCCGTTTGATAGTATCCCAGTGACTCGGAGACGGCTAGGGGTTAGAGCGCCCTGCTGGCAAGCTTGAGGCTCTGGAGTCCTGCGCCTGGCGCCACCCTGACGCCTCCTGTACTCTGGTGCCAGGGGCCCGAGCATCTCAAATAAGCACGTCTAGCAGGGCCACAAGCTCGAGCGCCACACGGGAGCATGTGTGTGACCCCTGTCCCTGCAACATCAACGGAAAAGGAGGGGGGATGTCAAATCCATCCCTGATATGCCCCAGCTGGAACCCTTCCCCCGCTAGCTTCTGCCTCCTGGTTCATTCCCAGAGCGGCCACCAGATAGCGCCAGAGAGCACCGAGTCAGTCCGCCCCACTTAGCCTGTTCTTCCCACTGTGGCCACCAGAGGGCGGCCGTGCACCCTCCAGAACAGCCCGACTGTCCTTCCCGCAAGTGCCCACGAGGGGACGCTCGTGCTCTCTGGCGTTTCCCAGGCTCTCGGTCCCGCTGGCCTCCAACGCCCGCTGTTCAGGGATATTTGGATCAGTCCTGCTCACAGCCCGTGTCCCTTCCCCTGAATCAGTATCCGGTGCAGTGACTACCCCCTCAACATCGGTGGATTGGGGCCCGGAGGGACCGCTGTGTGAAAATCTGGGATGATTTACAGGGCAGGGCGCGGGTGCAGCACATACAAAGGCCCTGTGGCCCGGCGTCTTGGGGTGTGGGCGGAACCCTGTGATGGGAGCGGAGGAGGCCAGCTGCAGAAGCGATTTGCGACATAATCCATCTCAGCAGATGGGGAAGGCGCTGATCCGCTTACCCACGGATCCTGGAGGAGCTGCAGTAGCTGTCCAGCCCCCACCGGCACCCATGCCTGGGCCAGTCCACCAGCAGAGGCCAGAGGGCTGGAACCCTGGCCCACCGCCCTATGAGGAGTACCGCCCGCCGCCGCTGGACTCCATCCCCCTGCCCGGGGACGCACCCTATCTGCTGCTGGCTGGAGTCTTGGTGCTGGTGGTGGCGTATGCCATCGTGGGGCACCTCATCAAGGACCTTGCCCACGACCTGGCTGGTGAGCACCCAGGAAGGAGGGGCTCCTCACTCCTGCTCAGTCAGCCTGCTTTTTTTTCTTTTGGGTCACACCTGGTGATGCTCAGGGGTTACTCCTGGCTCTAGGAGGCACCCTGGCGGTGCTTGGGGGATCATCTGGGATGCTGGGAATCGAACCCGGGTTGGCCACGTGCAAGGCAAACGCCTTTCCCGCTGTGCTGTCGCCCCAGCCCCAGTCAGCCTGGTTTTATGTCTTTATAGTTTGGGGCTGCAGTGATCATGAATTCCTGCCCGCGGCTGACTTGGGTTCGGTCCCCAGCCCCCCCTCCATGGGCTCCCCCGAACCCACCAGGAGCGATCCCTGAGCACAGAGCCAGGAGGAAGTCCTGAGCATCGTCAGATATGGGCCCCACCCCGATAAACAAAAATAGAATATTTATGTTTTATTGCTATGGTTGGGGGCCACGTGTGGCAGTGCTGGGACTCGAACCAGGGTCTCCTCGGCCCGGCCACATGCAAAGACGCACTTTGACCTGTCTCTCCGGCCCCAGATTGGGCGTTTGGCCCCAAGCCGGACCAGGGGGATGCGCCCCGGGAGATGCGGCCGAGCGTGGACGGGGCGGACCTGGACGAGCTGGACCTGGAGCTGGCCCTGGCGTGGCGAGGCGACGAGGACACGGGCGGCGAAGCCGAGACCCCCCGGCGCCCCTCTGTCTCCTTCCAGGACCCTTCGGCCCGGGGTGCTCTCTGGAAGCTGGGCTGAGAGTCCCCCCACCCCCCGCCGCCCCTTCAGTCACTGCAGGGACATGCCCCGCCCCCACCGGCCCAGTTCTCCAATGGCCAGCTCAGACCTGGCAGAACATTTTTCTTGTTAGAGTTTTTTTTTTTCTTTTTGGGTCCCACCTGGTGATGCTCAGGAATTACTCCTGGAAGTGCACTGGGGACCCTATGGGATGCTGGGAATCGAACCCAGGTAGGCCGCGTGCAAGGCAAATGCCCTACCCACTGTGCTATCTCACCGGCCCCTCTCTGCTCACTTTTTTTTCCTTTTTGGGTCACACCTGGCAATGCACAGGGGTTGCTCCTGGCTCATGCACTCAGGAATTACTCCTGGCAGTGCTTGGGGAGCCACATGGGATGCTAGGAATCGAACCCGGGTCGGCCGCGTGCAAGGCAGATGCCCTCCCCACTGTGCTATCGCTACAGCCCAGAGTCACATACTTTTTATTGGGGTTTGCACCCACAATGCTCAGGCCGCTGTTACTCTGGGAGCTTGGGGGAGCCTATGGGGTGCTGGGCTCCGGGGGGGTCAGCCATGTGCATGGCAGCCCCCTCCCTGCTGGGCTCTTTCTAGTCTCACCTTCCTGTCAGAGTTTGAAGGAGTAGGGCCCCCCCGGGCTCAGGGAGCACTAGCCTGTGCTCAGGGAGTCTCTGGGCACCTGATCAAATCAGCAGCCTGCTGAGAGGGTCGGGCCCTCAGAGCCGGTTCCCAGGTTCTGGGCCTGTTGGGAGGTTCCCCCAACACCTGCCTCTCCACACCCCCCCTTCTCTCTCCCCAGAAGTTCGAGAGTCTAGAACTCACACAGGTCCCCAACATTTACAACACACTCGGCCTTGCCCAGGATTATAAAACAGAAGACACGGGCCGGAGTGATAGCACAGCGGGTGGGGCGTTTGCCATGCACGCGGCTGACCCGGGTTCAATTTCCAGCATCCCATAGGGTCCCCCGAGCACCACCAGGGGTAATTCCTGAGTGCAGAGCCAGGAGTAACCCCTGAGCGTTGCTGAGTGTGACCCAAAATAAAAAAAAAAAAACAGAAGACGCAGATTTCATACTTGACTGATGCCGGCGTGTTCCTGCGCCTCTCTGTTCCGTCCCGTCTGGGTGGGGCCCACCCGGCGCAGAAGGCTGGGTGCCGTGTGTGTGTATGTGTGTGTGTGTGTGTTCAGGGCCCAGCTCAACTCTGGGCTTCTCGGTGCCCTGTGCCAGGGTCATGTCCTCATGACCCTAACTCCCCCTTAATGTGGCCTTGGGGGACCCAGCGTTGGCCCGAGCCACATGTCCGGGCACTGCCCCCCTAGTGGGATCCATCAGCTCCAGGGTGCTTCCCGTCCCTCTTGGGCTCCCCATACCCGCCTGGGGCCACTGTCCTTCAGCCCATCTTGGCCGGGGCCAGATGCTCAGTGGCCACCTAAGAGGGCGGGTCAGGGCGGCCGTGGGGAGGAGCCGGCGTGGGCACCTGAGGCCATGAAGCAACCCCTGCCCGGCCTTAAGGGTCCCCCTGGGCCATGCGCCTGGGCCGTGGCTGCCCCGTGGCAGAGGGATGCTCGTGACCCCTTATCTGATTGCCCTGGGGACCAAGGTTGGCTTGGGGCTGAGTCACGTCTCTCTCGGGGCCCATCTCCCCGCCCGCACCCCGAGTTCGCTGGGTGCCGGGTCCGCCTGGTCCTCCACCTCGGGGACTCACGCCCGTGGCCCCAGCGTTTAGGGGGCACAGGGGTGAGGAGGACGCTGTGCCCCGGAGTCGGCCTGCAGCCCCGTCCTAGCCCGCGCCCACCCAGCGGCGTCCTGTGGGGCAGGTGGACCCCGAGGCGGCGGGCGAGCCGGGCGGGGCGCCTGGGGGTGAGTTAATTGTTACCCCGGGTCCAGAGTCTGCGGGTGCCAGCTGGGGGCCCCGCCCCCGCGCGCCCCTTATCTGCCGCCCCTGCCCCGCCCTGCCCACTCGGCCATCCGACCCCGCGGACTCGCCACCATGCCGGGCCTGAAGCCGCTGCTCCTGCTCGTCCTCCTGCTCCTGGACCCCGCCGAGGCCTCCCAGGGTAGGTACCCGGGGCGGGAGGGGTGGGGATGGGCTAAGGGGGTGCTGTGGGCCCCTCTCTCCGCCCGCGCTGACACCCCTCCCCCTCCCAGTCGTGCAGATGAAGCCGTGGCTGGTGGGCCTGACGGCCGTGGTGTGCTTCCTCTTCATCGTCTTCGTCCTCATGCTCGTCAATCATCTGTGGTGCTCCAAAGAGAGGTGCGCTCGCGGGACCCTGACCGTCCCAGACTCCGCTGGGCCCTGGAGAGCGCCGCCTCAGACCCCCCTTGGTGGCCCCTATCTCAGGCCCCTGCAGCCAGCCCCTCCCCTCGGACCCCACACCTGCCCCCCAGGGCCCCTGGCCTCTCCCTGCCGCACCTGGAGGGGAGCTCCTCCTAGGACCGCCCCCACTGCCCCACCTCACCCCTCCGCGCCCCCTCCACAGGCCCCAGGATGAGGAAAACTCCGGGCTCAGGATGCAGAGGGTGAAGGAGGCGCAGATGAAGCAGATGCAGACGGAGACAACGAGGAGGTACCGTGCGGGTGTGAGTGTGGGGTCCTGGGGGGTGAGGCAGCGCATGCTGAGTGACGCCTCCCTCCCTCCCCATCCCTCCCTCCTCCCTCCTTCCCTCTCCATCCCTCTTTCTCCCTCCTCCCTTCCCCCCCCCTTCCTCCTCCCTTCCTCTCCGTCCTCCCTCCTCCCCTGGTTTCCATGAGTGACCGCGGGCAGGCGGTGTCTGAGGGTGGGGGGGATTCGGGGGGGGGCTGGAGGGCTCTGAGGCTGGCAGGATGGGAGTCTTCCCGGGGGGACTTGGCATTTGGGGCGCCGCCCCGGCCCAGTGACCCTCCAGAGGACGGGAAGTTTCACCCTCCATGACTGAGGGGGCAGGAGCGGGGATGGACCCCACGCCAGGCCTCGTCCCAGACCTGCTGCTTCTGTAGCAAGTGCCCAGGGCCTGGAACGCCTCGGGGCGTCTTGTTCTCTCTGTGTTTTGGGGGCTCACCTGCCCCTGCTGGAAGCTTGGGAACCAGATGGGGCTGGGACCAAACCCAGGACTCCGCCGGCTTGCTCAGCCAGGCCCTGCTCACTGGTGCTCCCGCCCGTCCACACGCCTGCCCATCCCCGTACCCATCCACTGATCCTTCCAAGATCCGTCATCCACCTGTCTGTCCGTCCTTCCATCCACCATCTATCCATCTGTCCATCCATCTGTCTGTCCGTCCGTCCGTCCGTCCGTCTGTCCTTCCATTCTTCCATCCATCTGTCCATCCGTTTGTCTCTTTGTCCGTCTGTCCATCCATCCGTCCGTCCATTCATCTGTGTCTGTCCATCCAATCAGTCTCTCCATCCATTCATCCATCTGTCCATCCGCCCAACCCCCCACCTGTCCCCGAGCCCCACCCTTCTCTGCTCCCTGCACCTCCTGTCTGTGTCTGTCGGTGAAGCCTTCCACTGGCACCTGCCCCACCCCCGGAACCAGACCCAGAACGGGCTGCAGAGTTGGAAGTGAGATTGACGAGACTCCACTCTGTCAAAGACTCACACGCATGTGCGCGAACACATGCACATCCACACACAGATGCACAATCCACACCGTGCACACGCACACCCACCCACGCACGCACACGCGCACACACATCCACACTGTGCACACTCACATATCCACACACACGCACACCCACATGCACACACCACACACGTACACACACAGGTGCACACACAGACATGCTCACACACACCAGGTACTCACGCACACATGCACACACACACGCACGTACATGCATGCACATATCCACACACGCATGCACACATGCGCGCACACACGTGTGAGCGCTTCTTGCTTCTCCCTTTTGGGGAGTCATACCCAGCCATGCTCAGGGCTTACTCCAGCTGGGCCCTGAACTCAGGCATCACTCCTGGCAGTGCTGGGGGGGGGACCGTGCAGGGTTCTGGGGAATCAAACCCAGGTCGGCCACATGCAAGGCAGGCGCCCTCCCCATGGGCGGTGGCTCTGATCCCTCACTTCTTTTAACCTTTGTTTTGTTTTGGTTTTGGGTCACACCCAGCTGTGCTCAGGGGTCACTCCTGGCTGGGTTCAAGGGTCCCGAGCCTTGCAGGCAATCGAGCCCAGATTAGCCCTGTGCCAAATAAGCACCTTCCCTGCAGTTCTGTCTGTCTGCGAATGGGAGAAGCGGGTTCTGGCTGTGAAGAGACAAACCAGAAGAAGGAGGAAGAGAAGGGAAAGAAGGAAGAGAAGCAAGGACACACCAACGAGGCGATGGAGAAGGAAGAGTCCAGCCCTCAAACCGCGTTCTGAGCTTAGCCTGACACCCACAGGGAGCCCTCCCAGACTACTCTTCCACTCCGGAGCAAGTTCCTGTCCCTACTGCTATGTCAACGGCTCTGCATGGGTTGCAGAGTTGAGCAAGCCCCAAAGGAGAGATTTGGGGACTGCCCTGTCTGTGTCCCTGAAGACAGAGAGGACTGGGGGGGGGGGGGAGGCGAGGGCGAGAGGTCACATGGCTTCACACATGTTTCTGCCTGATTTGTCTGTCCTGGGTTATTGCAGTCACTGGAGTCCCAAGCGTCACTTGCTGCGACCTGAACCCTGAACTCACCCCACCCACCTCCCCAGCCTCCTCCTGGCTCCTCTGTTCCTTTCTCTGAGCCGCCTCTCTGCCACAAAACCTCTGGAAGAGTCGAGATGTGCATTAAAAAAAAAAAACCCACACGCGGTCTGCACACTCTCCTCCCCTCCCGCGCCCCGGGGGTCCCAGCTCTGGGGGTTGGGTTGGTGGAGGACCAGGGCAGCAGAGGGTTTGATAGGGGTGGGGGGGTCCCACACTCAGAGGCGCTCCCGCTCATGCCCTCCGGTGCCGCCAGGATGCCCGGCCAGCTCTTGGCCGGCCCTCCCTGGTACCCCGCTCTTTGAACCCCCAATGCCATCCTGCAGGGCAGCCCTG